GCGGAAATCCAATGCGCCCTGACCCAAATTCAAACCGGATTGCAAACGGTAGTTAATAACCAAGCCCAATTAGCTCAGCGACTAATTGCTTTAGAACAAAATGCTAATAACCAGCTAACTAATCTTAATAAGCAATTCAACTCTTTGCGTTTAACCCACACTAAAGAACAAAAAAGAATTGAATTGCATAGCAATGTGAGTGATTTTGATAAATCACGACAATTTGACCGACCCCAATTAGAAAATGCCGACCAAGAAAGTTATTAAACCTGTCTTAATTTAACAAGAAAACTATTAACCGACCCTTATGTTCAATGTCAACCTCGAACCCTTAATCCAGCAAATCAAAGAATTTAATCTCAATCAAATCCAAACTAATCAGTTACTAACTGAAATTTTAGAAATAATTAAAAAAAAATAATGACAAAAAACGTTATCGAAATTAGAAAACTGAAAAAGGTTTATGATGGTAGAACTGTACTGAAAAATGTTAGTTTTTCGGTCAAAAAAGGTAGCATTCATGGTTTTATTGGTCCCAATGGAGCGGGCAAGACTACTACTTTAAAATGTTTAATGAGTGGAATAATACCCAGTGCCGGAGAAATCTATTTAGAAGGCAAGAAAGTTGGTGAAAATGAACTGGCTAATAAAAAGATAGGATTTATGACTGAGCCAGCCGAATTTACCGATAATCTAAGTGTAGAAGATTTTATTCATTTGTCTGGAAGATTATGAAACATTTCTGAAGACCAAGTGGAAAAACGTTTGAAAAAGTCTGATTTAAACAATCACCGCTCAAAAAATTGTGGCGAACCATCCACTGGTTGAAAAAAGATTTTACTCTATTTTGTTTCGGTTCTGCACGAGCCAGACATTTTAGTTTTGGACGAACCAACTTCTGGTTTAGACCCTTCCTATCGCGGCATTTTACTAAACCAATTAGAGGGAGTTCGGAAGCGAGGTGGCACGGTATTAATTTCCAGTCATATTTTATCAGATTTGCAAAAGTTAGTTGATTCAACTACTATCATTGATAAAGGTAAAATAATTTATACCGGGGAAAAACCGGACGATATTGAAGAAATGTATAATAAATTAGTCCTCAAAGATAAAATTAAAGCCAAAGAAGGACAAACTTGAATTTAGATTTATGAATATTTGACACTCTTGAAGTTATTACTTAAAAAGGACTTTTAGCAAGTGAAGCACTTGGCTAATTTTACTAATACATTTAGCATTTTTTGGTCTCGTAATTCTTTTCACGCAGCCACTATATAATCCTCCTATTATCAACAACACTAACGATTTTTTTGCTGGTATTTTCTATTACCCGCTTGGTGCTCCACTGTATGTTTGAACCCTGGTATTTAGTCCAATCTCGTGATTATTTTGAGGTTGAATTGATGACATAGCCCAAAAAACTCAAAAAGATGGCACTGATTTATTTTTTTTGACCACCGAAATACCGACCAGTCGGAAACAGATTTTTTGAGGAAAAATAGTCTTTTTAACTAGTTCTTTGTTCAGTTTACATCTCCTTGCTTTTGCTACCCCTCTTGCTTTGATGTTATGAAAAATGAATTACTTTGCTAATTTTACCGGACTGCAAACTTTTTCCTTTTTAGCCTGTAATTTTTTGGCTATTCCTTTATTTTTCTTTGCTCCATTAATTATTTTCTTAACCTCTTTGGCTTCTTTGAAATCAGTTTGATATACCATTCTGAAATGGCTGGGTCGCTTGTCGATAATAATTCTGATGTTTTTGATATTTTTAGTTGGTTGAGCACTATACAAAGGCGGGGGAGTAGGAGAAAAAATAATCAAATGAGGGAAAGAGTGTTTTGACTGGCTGAAACAAAATTATCTTTTAATGACTTTAACCATTATCGGGGAGTAGTTACTTGTTTGGCGATATTTACTCTCTTTTTGGCTTATAAGAAGTTTCAAGAAGAAGATTTGAGTTAGAAAAAAAGAGTGCAGGAATTTATTATTGATTCCGCTGTGGAAAATAAAACTTACTCCTATTTAATAACTATTGCTTATGATGGTAGTGATTTTGCTGGTTGGGCTACTCAACCTAAACAATTTACTATTCAGGGGTGTATTGAAAAGATACTGAGCAAAGTTTTTCGACAAAAAATCAACATTTTAGCGGCTAGTCGCACCGATAAAGGAGTACATGCCCACGACCAAAATTTTACTCTGCGCCTGAAGTTATTATTCTCCGAAGAAAGATTATTTGATTTATTAAGACAAGTTCTTGGCAAATATATTCTAGTCAAAAAAGTTAAAAAGGTAGATAGTAATTTTCATCCTATACGAAACGTTATTAGCAAAGAATATCGTTATTTCATTAATATCGGAACACAAGACATTTTTCGAAGCAAATATCAGTGAGAATATAATTTGCCATTAGAAACTAAAAAACTAAATGAAATTCTCCAAGTTTTCCAAGGTTGCCATAATTTTTTTAATTATTCTTATTGTCGCTGACAAGAGCGAGAAAGAGTGAATACTGAACGAGAAATTACTTCGTTAAAAAGTTGAAAAAGAAAAAATATTGTGATAATCAGTATTATGGCTAAAAGTTTCCTTCGCTACCAAATTCGGGCAATAATTGGCGAGGTCATTAATTGTTATGAAGGAAAGCAAACTATTGCCGATTTACAAGCAAAATTAACTAATTGTACTAAAAAAAATTACAAATACAAAAATATTGCTCCCGCAGCCGGTTTGTATTTATGAAAGATTAATTATTATTAACTTATTTAGCAAAAAAAACTTTTCGAAAAAGAACCAGTTTACTTATTTCTTTCACAACAAAAAAACAAAAAAATGGTAATCGTTAACATCTCCAAAACCGAATTTTTGGCAACGAAATACTTTTTTTCTTTGTCTCTAAAATTAATTTAATATGTCATTACTAATCACCTTGGAAGGAATCGACGGCAGTGGCAAAACTACCCTGATTAATAACCTGCAAAAAATTGATGAATTAAATCTAATAACTCATAGTTGACGAGACACTGAATTAGGAGAAAAAATTTGGAACTTAATTAATGAGACACGAGCGCAAGGAAAAAGTAGAGTACCAAGCGATTGAAGTTATATTTTCCTTTTTTTGGTTACTTTTGATGAACTAGCAAAGAAAATAATTGAGCCGAATTTACAAGAAGGCAAATTAGTTATAATTGACCGTTATATTGATAGCACTTTTGTTTATCAGGGATTAGAAGGAGAAATAGGAATTAACAACATTCAAGAAATTGCCAAAAGAACGATTGGTTTATCGCTGCCTGATATTACTTTTATCCTTGACATTGACCCCCTGCAAGCCCAAGCAAGATTAAAAAAAAGAAAGTTGGAGACTGGTGAATATACTAATTGAGATAACTTAAAGTTAGAATTTCATAACCGAATCAGAAATCATTACCTAGAATTAAAAAAATATTTCCCAGAAAGAATTTATATTATTAATGCTGAAAGAAACGAGACTGAAATATTAGCAGAAGTTCAAACTATAATTAAAAAATGCTTGCCTGAGAAGGATAAGGGAAATAATTTACCAAGTTCTGCCCGAGTAGTTATTCAGAATGAAAAAGGAGAATTTTTGCTAGTAAAAGATAAATGAGGTTGGAATTTTCCTGGTGGAAAAATAGAAAAAGGTGAAACGCCAGAGACAGCTGCCAAAAGAGAATTATTTGAAGAAACTAACCTAGTGGTGAAAAATTTGGAAAAAGTTGTGGCAGAAAATTTCTTTTACGCCAATTTACCGAAAGATAGCCAGCATTGAAAGGTTTATCTTTTTCGAGCCAACAAATACTCAGGAAAGATAAAGATTAAAGAGGTGGAAAAAATATTAGGCATTAAATTTATGGGTGATAATTCTTCAGGAAATAAAGAAAAACAGCAACCTTATCAATTCTATTTAGAAAGAATAAGAAAATCAGAAAAATATGGCAAATAATAAACAAACTAATTCACAACAAAATCAGAAAAATATGGAAGTAAAGAAAACAAAAAAACCCCAAAAACTCAATTGATTTACAATAACCAATTTTTACCGCAAAGAAACAGTAATTTTTTATTCCTTAACCACTTTAAGTTGTTTGGGTGCTTTTGTGATTTCCAGTAATGTTGCTAAAAAACTTGCTGAGGCGGTCAAGCGAGGAGAAGTAAAATATGATCTAAAATGGGAATTTTTTGGTAAAAAATTAGGAGTATGAAATTTTGCTAGTCAAGGAGCATTTATTGCCACCATGCTTGCTGTTATCGTTGTCGCTTGCTTGATAGTTGTCGCTCATGTTTACTATTCTTATTATTTTGCTAATAAGGTGGCAGTGGCAGTTAAAAAAAAATTGACCCGCAAACTTTTTTCTTTGCAGAATTCTCATGATCGAAAAGAAACTTTAACTATTTTAACTCATAATGCTCGAACTTTTTCTTACTTAACTCTTTTCGTTCCTAATCAGATATATTATGCTTTACTTGATACTATCATGACTTTTGTTGATGTTTATCAAGTTGGTAAAAAAACAGAACAGCATGCTTTGATCTGATGAGGAGTCGCTTATTACTTTTTAATATTAGCTGTGGTTCTTTTCTTCCAATTTTGAGTTTATAAAAAAGACCAACCATTCCAGAAGGCTCTAAAAAAAGAAGTAGAACGGGAAGACTTTCTGGTCAACAATCGTGATTTAATTATTAAGAAAAATTTGACGTCTTCCTCGCTTAATTCTTACCATTACCATCTTGGCAAAACTCATAAAAAAATTAACCAACGCGATTGAATTTATACTTTATCTTTTGTTGTTCCCAATTATTCTTTGGTGCGAGCAACTGGGTTTATTTTTTTGCCGTTTGTTAGAGATGAATCTACTTTTGTGGCCGTAAACGGAATAACTAGTTTGTGTGATTCAACCAAAAAAATGATTGAAAGATTGCGGGAATATCCTTATGGACTTTCAGCGCAAAAACAAATTAATAATTTCCTTGCTCAGCCGGAACGTGATGACCTGCAACAAAACGTTCTCATTAAGGAACCAATTCAAACTATCACTCTCAAAAAAGTAAGTTTTGGGTACCAGGAAAAAAAACTTGTTCTAAAAAAATTAGATTTACAATTTCAAAAAGGGAAAGTAAATTACTTAGTGGGTGAAAATGGCTACGGCAAAAGCACAATAATTAGTCTGATTATGGGCTTGTATCAACCAAATAAAGGCGAGATACTTATCAATAATGAATACAAATTAAATGAAGTAAATTTAATAAAATGACGAGCCAAAATTGCTTATGCTGAACATGAAAACTTGATTGAAAATGGCTTGTCAACTGGCCAAAAACAATTAGCCGACCTGGATAATTTGTTTGCTAGAAGCAAAGACAAAGAAATATTCATTTTTGATGAAGCCGACAATGCCTTAGATGAAAAAAACAAAGAAGAATTTCGAGAAAAAATAGAGAAAATTAGTAAAAAGAAATTAGTTATACTAATCGGACATTAAAATTAAATTGGTGAAAGAATACTAAAATCTATTAATAAATTATGGCAGAAAATAACAAAAAAACCCGAGCCGAAATGATACTGCGGGATATTGAAGCCCACTTGCAGAAGCTTATCAATGAAAAAAAAGAATTGAAAAAAAAATTCTCAGAAAAGTTAAAAGAAGTAGAAAAACAAAGAAAAGAAAATCAAGGCTGGTTTGAGGGTAATTGAAAGGAAGCTGAAAGAATCGAAAATAAACTGATGTTGCTCTGAGATTATTGAAAAAGAGAAGTAGAAATATTACAATTAGAAAGAAAAATAGCATCCGGGGTACTGCCTAGTGAAAGAGAAGAATTAATGAAAGAAATTCAAAGACTCAATTCTTATAATGTCACTCTGGAACAAGGATTTAAAAAGAGAAAAATCGATGCCGAGGTAATTACTGAAATACGAAAAAGGTTAGGAGTTTGAGAAGATCGCGAGGATTAAAGATGGGAGAAAAACAGTATTTAAATCTCTTAGCAAATATAATAAATAATGGTGAAAAAAGGCTAGACAGAACCGGAGTGGGAACAAAAGTTCTATTTGGCTGCCAAATGCGATTTAATCTCCAGGTAGGTTTCCCTTTACTCACCACTAAAAAAGTTAACTTCAAAGCAGTTGCTCATGAGTTACTGTGATTTATTAAGGGCAACACTAACATCAAATATTTAGTTGATAATGGTGTAAAAATTTGAAACGAGTGGCCTTTTAAAAAGTATAAATTGTCTCCTGACTACCAAGGAGAAAATTCGGAGGAATTTGTAGAAAAAATTAAGACTGATAATAATTTCGCCCAAAAATATGGTGAATTAGGACCTGTTTATGGTAAGCAATGACGCAATTTTGACGGAGTAGACCAGTTAAAAAAATTAATAGAGAATTTGAAGAGCAATCCTTTTTCTCGCCGTCATATTTTATCGGCTTGGAATCCACCCGAAATTAAACAAATGCTCTTGCCACCCTGTCATTTGTTAGCCCAATTTTTTGTTTCTAATAATAATGAATTATCTTGCTTGTTATACCAAAGAAGTGGCGATATGTTTTTAGGTGTTCCTTTTAACATTGCCAGTTATAGTTTGCTAACTGCGATGATAGCCCAAGTTTGTGACTATAAAATTGGAGAATTTATTCATGTAATCGGTGATGCTCACATTTATTTAAACCATTTCGAGCAAGTTAAAACACAACTATCCCGAGAAGCCAAAAAATTACCAAGTTTGAAACTTAATCCGAAAATAAAATCGCTTTTTGACTTCCGTTTTGAAGATATTAGTTTAGAGAATTATAAACCGCATCTTCCAATTAGAGCCAAAGTGGCGGTCTAGTAAAACAATATTATTATATTTATGAATCACATAAGCCCTGTTACAAAAAAAATTGAAGCAAAATAAAATAATCCTTATCGATTGAACCTGATTTTTTAAAAAATACTGAAAAAAATTCTTAATACTAATTTTCCTAGCAACAATTAGCACCTTCTCTTTTTTGCTTCTGGCTCGTAACAGTGCTGAGAGAATTTATTCCCTATTAAGACAAGGTTCGAAAAGTTCAAACCCTAAATACATTTTCTATTCTTTTAGTGGCAAATCCTTGATAAATTTTGGCGAAAACTGAAAAAACTATCTCTTATTTGTAATTTTCTTCGTTGTTATAAGTTGTTTTCTGACTGCTATCTCTTATTATTACCGGAATTACTTAGCTTATTTGGTTAGCAATAACTTAAAACAAAAATCAATCAATAAGTTATACAGACTGGAAGAAAAATCAGCAAAAGAACTAGAAAGGAGAACTTTCGGAATTATTTACTACCAATCTAAAGAACTAGGTAATTATTTAGTTTTCCTCCCTGACAATCTTTATATTTTTTTCTTAACAACCATTCTGCTCTTTTTTGAACTACAATCAGCTTCTGGTATTAACATATGGGCAGGCTTAATCTACTTCCTTTTGGCTAGTTTATTAAGTTTTAGTTTCAACTATCTAATTAATCGCCAAAAAACTGAATTACAAAAAATTGTTGAAAAGCAAACTGAAGCCGAAAATAACTTGATTAACAATCGAAAATTAATTATCAAAAAAGGGTTAACTAACACATTTTTTAGAAATTACCAACAAGTTTCCCAGACCGTTCAAAAAAAGGCCAATAAAGAAAGTTTTTTCAGTTCGCTTTACAAGTCAACTTTTTCCTATCTAATCCGCTTTGGTAAGTATTTTTTATTGCTAATTCTTTTAATTTTTGTTCCTAACGCTAATGACTTTATTATTTTTACCATGTTTACCAAATTAGCTTCTTCTTTTAGTTATTTGATAAAAGGCGTGAGAAAATATCCTCAGTATGCTTCGACTCAAAAAAGATTTAATTATTTTCTTGGTTTGCCAGAAAGAGACGATACCCAAAAATATCTTATTGACGAGCCAATCACTTCTATTTATTTACAAAATATTTCCTTTGCTTACGAAAAAGACAAGCAAGTTTTTAAAGAACTAGATTTAGTATTTGAGAAAGGCAAAATTAATAATTTACAGGCCCCTAATGGATTCGGTAAAACAACTATTGTTGATTTACTTTTTGGACTCTATCGGCCAACAAAAGGAGCAATAATCATCAACGAAAAGTATAGACTAAGCGACTTAAATTTGAAAAAGTGGCGAGAAAAAATAGCCTATGCCGAATCTGATAACTTAGTTAGATTAAATTTATCACTGGGACAAAAACAATTAATTGACTTACAAGAAACACTACACAAAGATAAAGAAATCTATATTTTTGATGAAGTTGATAATAATTTAGATAAGAATAATAAAATTATTATTAAGGAAAAAATGGAAATGCTCGGTCGAAAAAAAATAGTAATTATAATGAAAGCAAATAATTAAGAAATAAAATGATAAACCTAATTTGAGCCATGGACCAAAATTATCTAATTGGCAAAGATGACAAATTGCCCTGAAAAATCCCCATGGAAATGAAATATTTTTCGCAAATTACTTCCAACCACACTGTGCTAATGGGAGCCAAAACTTTTGAAAGTATCGGTAAACCTTTAAAAAATCGTCATAATATAGTTGTCACGAGAAATAAGGAAAAATATAAGAATTGACAAGAAAAAGATTTAACTTTTACCAGCGAATTAAAAGAAATTTTAAATCCTCATAAATCAAATCCTAATCAGCACATTTTTATAATTGGTGGGCGGGAAATTTATCAACAAACTTATCCTTACGCCGATTATTATTATATTTCAGTAGTGAAAGGAAATTATGAGGGCGATATTTATTTTCCTTTTTCCGACTGAAATAAAGGTGAATTAATTAAAAAAGAAGAATTTCCTGATTTTACTGCTTATATTTATGAAAAATCATAAAACTTTTTATATTATAAATGAGCCATGACTTATCAAAAAAAAAAAAAAAACATTTATTTTAATAATTAGTGGAATAATTACTCTTTCTTTCTTAGTCGGTGTAGCTTTTGTCATTGGAAAAAATGTTTCTTCTCAATCTTCTGGTAAATCGTCTTCCAACCAAAAATCAAATAAGCCAAATCCTCCTTCCCGACTTTCTCAGAAGCCAAACGACAATAGTCCCCCCTTTTTCTCCCTCTGACCCTAATCAACCAAATCAACCTACGCCCCCGCCACAAAATCCTAGTCCTGACAATAATTCAGAAAGCAAAACGTTGGCCAATTTAATTAAAGCCGATTTACAAGATGCCTTGACCAATGATGGCCGGTGAATAGTGTCAGGACTTCAACATTATTTTCAAGATTATCAGAATTGAATAGATTGGATTTTAGTAGACACTAAAAATGAGGAGATAAAAAAGGAGTTGGAAAAAAATAGAATTAGGAATCAGGGCAAGAGGAGAAATAATGATAAACAAGAAAGTGAACTGATTTTTCCTAATGAGTTAGAACCAGTTGATTATCAAGAAATAGTAAATTTAATTAGCCAAATTAGACCCTTACAAGAAAAAAAAGACCAGCAAAAATGACAAGAAGTTTACTCAAAATTAGCCACCCAAAAGAACTTAATTTATTGAGGGGGAGGCGGAAAAAAAATGATTAGTGGAGGAAAATATTACTATTTTCGGGCCAAGGAAGATGGTCAAGAATATTGAGTGGATATTGCTTATAACCACCCCGTTTTAAACAATTTTTCTTTTGATACTGAGGGATTTTATTTAATAATTGGTACCGAAAGCATTCCGCTTGAACTTTCGGGTAATCACCTTAATAAATGTGTGGAATTAGGGGACAAATTTACAATTAATCCCACTAATCCTTAAATAACTTTTTCTCGACTTTGCAAAAAATTACATATGCCGAAAAGGACTAATTATTTAACTTGACAAGAATATTTTATTACTATTGCCCAAGTTTGTACTCTGCGGAGTAAAGACCCCAACACTCAAGTTGGGGTGGTCATAATTAATAAAAACAAAGAAATTATCGCTACTGGTTATAATGGTTTACCCTGAGGCTGTTCGGATGATAAATATCCCTGAGAAAATAAGCAAGAAAATTGATTAGAAACTAAATATCCCTATGTTGTTCACGCAGAGGCTAATGCGATAATTCATGCTCGCCAAGATTGTCATGACTTTTCTCTCTATACCACTTTATTTCCTTGTTGCGAATGTGCCAAATTGATTATTCAGGCTGGTATAAAACAAATTTTCTATTCCAATGATAAACATAGCGAAGAGGAAAATGTAATTGCTGCTAAAAAAATGTTAAAAGATGCGTCGGTGAAGTTCACTTTAATTTCTGCTCCGAAAATAACTATTGAAAAATAAAGTCTCCGTTTTGTTTATTGTAAATTGCTAATAATTTCTCTTCTTATTTTTGTGAATAACTACACCAATAACAACTGCCAAAATTATTCCAACTATTAATATTGCTCCTATTATCACAGCTCTATCATTTTTATTTTTCTTTTTGTTAAACTCATCATCTACTTGGTTAAAGGTAATCGGTTCTTGGGTAGATTTTAATTCTTGTTGTAATTTTTGTGATAAACCACTATCAACGATATTTATTTTTTGCTCACCGCTATTAGATTTAATTATTATTTGATTAGTTGTCGCATCAAACTTAATCTCAGTTGCTCCCATTTTTCGCATTCAATCAAAGAGTTCCTTGATATTAAAAATTCCCCGCAATTTTTTATTTTTCTGGTCTTTGCCATCTTGGCATTCTAGCGAACAATATTTTTTGCCGTCCTTTTCCCACGGATAATAATTATCTTTAACTGACCCACAATTGGCACAAGTATATTCACGAGACAATTTATTAATTACATTCTCCATATTAAACTTCCGACTTCATGCTTCCATTGAGTCCGAACACTCATTAATTCTATCCTTTCAATCACTAACTCCTAACTTTTTATTTAATTTTTCTGCGGAAACAGATTTTAGGCTTAATTTAAATTCCACATCGCGAATATATTGCTTTTTGTCCTCTTCCAAGTTTTTACTTTTCTGTCTTTCATGACTTTTTTTATACTCATCCAATCAGGAAGATATATTGCTAGAGCTGGAACTACCGGAAGAAGAGGGAGTATAAGTATAGGAGGAATAGGAGTTATAACTACTGTTGGCTACATTTTTAAAATAATCGGCTCATTTTTGGTCTTGTTTTCTTTTGTAATCTTCTCATTCTTGGTCTTCTCTTTTCTTTTTTTCATTTCAATCTTTCCATCATTGGTCATTATCGTCTCAAAGTCTCCGACAACTTTCTGAACAAAATGCCTCATTTCTTCCTGTGAAGGTATATTTCGGGCGTGGGTCATCGCTTTCTACTTTATATTTACAGTAATCACAGGTAAATTTAGAATATTTTTTGGAACTAGTGTCGGAATAAGTATCGCTTCTTGTTTCGGTTGCAGGTGCTGGTTTGGGGGCTTGGCTGGGCTGTTCTCCCCCTTTCTTGTCAAAAAAACCAGCATCCCGAGCCCGAGCATAAATTTGAATGAAAAAAACTACTTCGGAGGTAAATTTTTCTAAATCTTCCTTGGTTTTACACTGACGGAGTTTTTCTTCATAGTGTTTTACTGTCTCATCCTCCATTTCCTCTTTCCCCACATTATTATAATTCAAAGCATTTTCTATTTTTTGTTTCATCAATCAAATTGCATCCTCATTTATGTCGGAACTGTCACCACCATTCTTAGTTAAAACCTCGTAAGCCAGGTTAATTTCCTGCATTTTATCATTAGAACCTCCTTTATCGGTATGATGTTTCAAAGCTAATTCATTACGGGCTTTTTTGATTTCTTCTTGGGTAGCATTTTTGCCTACTCCTAGTATTCTACGTGCTTCTTCTTTGTCCATTGCTATTATTTATTTTCTTGCTTATATTTTGTGCATTTAACTTTATTCTAGTAGTTTTTTATAAGGATGCAAAGTTGGTAGTGATTTTACTCTCTTAATTTTCTCTCAAAGCAAATACTTGTTTTTTTTCTTTGCTGGCATGATGTTAACTTTTATTATATAATTTTATTTTATTGCTTTTATATTTCAATTCTTCTACTTGAAAACTTTTTCCATTCAAATAAGAAAGTGGAGAAGAAAGATTGTTGAATATTATTTTATAAGCAACTAAATTAATTTTAGTTTCTAGAACTATTTTACTGTCATATTTTTTATCGCCGATAATTGGCAGTCCAAAATGGGATAAAATTGCTCTAATTTGGTGCTTTCTCCCCGTGTGCAAGGTAATTTCAAATATTTGATAATTATTCTTTTCGCCAACTTTTT